AATAATAAAATAAAATAAAATAAAATAATAAAATAAAATAAAATAAAATAAAATAAAATAAAATAAAATAAAATAAAATAAAATAAAATAATAAAATAAAATATCTTCTCGCCTTACTCTCAGGTGCTCAAACATGCCCAACCCTTTCGCAACCATCACAACCATATTACACAAGGAGTCGAAGAAAGGACTTGTGTTCCCAAATACCCAAGGAGAGCGGCTGAAGCAGAAGGGACCATACCTTGCCTTGTGTGAGCCGATTCTTCCCGTTGAGGGCGTAAACGGCAGCATCCGTGGCAGAGAGAGAGACAAAGGATTTGGCATCCGTGTTTATGGTGAGTGGCAGGCGTGCCTGAGGCTGCAGGCGGTCTATGTTTGCCGAGGAGCGAATCTCCAGCTGAAGATTGGAAAGACAGAATAAGAGAGAAGTAGGACACCCAACCCCAACCTCTTCCTGGATCTCTAGACGGGAAAGGTGACAACTTCATAAATTACCTAGGAATTCCAGAAGTGTTTTCAGAAATATTTAGAAAGTAATGGGTTGGAGGATGTCTGCTTGGCCTGAAGTTGGCCTAAATATAGGTAGTCCTTGACTTATGTCCACCATTGAGCCCACAATTGACATTGCTAAGCAGCAGCATTTGTTAAGTGTGTTTTGCCTCATTTTACGACCTTTCTTGCCACAGCTGTTAAGTGAATCACTGAAGCTGTTAAGCTAGTAACATGGTTGTTAAGTGAATCTGGCTTCCCCCTTTGACTTTGCTCGTCAAAAGGTCGTAAAAGGTGATCACATGACCCCGAGACACTGCGACTGTCATAAATACAGTTGCCAAGTGTGCAAATTTTGATCACAGGACCGTGGGGATACTGAAATGGTCATAAGTATGAAAAACGGACATAAGCCACTTTTTTCAGTGCTGTTGCAACTTCAAAAGGTCACTAACGAATGGTTGTAAGTTGAGGACTACCAGTATTGTCCTTCGCAAACTGTCAGAAAAATCTTATTTATTTATATGGAGAAAATCGACCTGGGGTGGTCTCAGGAGTGGACACCGACTGTAGAGTGAGGTGAAATAAAATAGAAATGACACGAAAATGAAACCGACGTGAAATGAAATGCAGTAAAATAAAAAAAGAAATGCCGTCAAACAAGATACAACAAAGCAAGTGAAATGAAGCAAAGTAAAATAAGTGAATGAAATTAAAATAAAAGAGCATCGGGCAGCAGTTACCTAATTTTTCATGATTTTCCATAGTTTCAAACACTGCCTCGGCCCCATGAAGGTCTCGTTTATTATTGTATGGTTATAGTCCTAAAACAATTTTGTCTGCTTTTTGTATTTTTGTTTTGATGATCTTACACTTATGGTGACTATTTTAGGTAGTAACACAGTGTCTATGAACATATTTAGGTTGTGTAAATATCCTGAACCGTCTAACTCAGGGGTCCCCAACCTTGGCAACTTTAAGACGTGTGGACTTCAACTCCCAGAATTCCTCAGCTGGCTGAGGAATTCTGGGAGTTGAAGTCCACACGTCTTAAAGTTGCCAAGGTTGGGACCCCTGGTCTAATTGGCTGAGACCTGCTTAACACAATGATTAGAAGTATCTACGGTATAAATCCAAGCCCTGTTTAAATGAACAAGTCTCAATTAATGGGACTAAAACATA